GATACGTGCAAAGAGAGCACGACGAGGTAGTCGATGGGAAGGCATACGCAAAACATGACCGAGCCATCGGAGGCGATGTAGAATGATTTCTTCCGTTAGAGAATGACTGTCAGTACCCAACATACGACGACGATTTTCTTCATTGCTCACCCGATGTTTCCACCTGATACGAGCAATGTTTCTAAGGCATCGGTGGTCGAATACAAAGAGTCGATTAACATCGTCCGCTCGGAAGCCGTAAAGCAGAACACTACGGACCGCGGCGATGTACACCCAGCCCTTAAGGGACAGTCGAATATCATACTTTCAGAACCCCACCGAAGCACATGGACAGCTTGGTACAAACGCGTGGTCGGATTCGAGGGTAGCGCTCCAGTACGATCGGCAGTCTTGAATGCAACCCCGCTATTTGTATCTCATAGCGATGTGGTTTATCTGCGTTTGTTGTTGACTCGAGGAGGGTGGACGCCAAGTGGTGTATCGGCAGTTGGAGTGTCTGAAGTTCGTACCGGCGAGGAAAAGGCGGTATTCAGAGCATAGAGCCAGCAGCCCTTCCCCGTTTTCCGAGCAACAAGAATCTAGTCCGAAAAAACCAACCAGATGCGCCTCACTCGAAGTCAACCGGACTACTCTAGCATTCATATCTCCTGCTTAAATCACGATATCAGCCCGATTTACCTTACGCAAGAGATCGTGTAGCTTTTGGTAAAAAGTATCTTTGACTGTATCTAGGCTACAGTTCGTAGGTGCATACGCTGAGACTACAAAGAAATGGCGTCTTTCGGAGCGTCGACTATTTACTTTGCACGAGCCTCTACGTCACTGTGCACAACCTACTGTCGATTGGGATCCAATCCAGGAGCGCGGTTTCAGCTCTCTCACTGAGAGTCACACCAACGCCAGCAAGATCAGAAGCCGCAGCCTAAGGGTCCTCAGAAAGAAGCAGGTGAAACTTCGCGGATGGGTTTAATAGGGACGTCAATCGGATGGAGGAGCTAGAGTCTTGAATGCGAGTCTCTTGGATACAACAAACATCGATGATTAGGGTCTCGAGGGTACGAGCTAAACACACCCATTGTCCTATACGCATCAAGGTACGCACGTTGAATGGGCATCGAGGATGAAGAAGAGCTTCAACTGGCGGAGGAAGATTCGGTGAGACTTGGACGCATTAAAACTAATGCGTGATCAGATTCAACGTAGGTGGTACAACAGAGACTGCCGTTTTGTATTGAACCACACCAATAGTAGCTCAGTGTGGTAGTCGAGTTGAGTGGGCGCACTAGTTTAATTGGAACACCACGTTGCCGTCGAGTGTTGTCTGAAGTTGCTATTGGACAGGAATGGATAGTGGTTTGCGCATAACCGCAAGAGTCGACGACTGTTAGCTGTACGTTGGCAGGATAGAATAGAACGATCGCATCTTAACTTCATCTGTGGACCTCCACGTGATTTCCTCTGACCTGGAGTCATAACTAAAAATGGGATACGGTGCAATAAACCACAGCTGCACATGCAAAATATGTGTCCGGCGACTGGCTCCTGGGAAATTATAAGCCGGTTTCATGGGCACTGCATAGAATTTAGAAGTTAGGTATTGGAAACTTCCCCATCGGCACTCGGCTCTTAGTGGAGGTAGCACCCCTAGCCTTTGCACATCCAAGTGCTAGCTGCAAGGCGGCAGGAAGATAGTGCATAGTTACCGGTGGTCCTCTGTGGATGGCTCATACGCCATTGGCAGTTTCTAGATGAACAGGGTCTGTGCAATCCCAGGTGAGTATAGAGTCATTGACTCGCCGCGGGTTGAGCTCCCGGTTACTCTCAACCTGATTTGGTCGGTCTGTACAGCCGTTTATCGGGGTGTAGCCGCTGTTTCATTCAGACAGGTTCTTAGAACCACGGGTGAGAGTTGATCGCTTAGTGGAGACCAAAGAACGGAGGATGTCCCAAAGGGGCCGACAGCCGTCCAAGTCAGAGGCGTTACTCTTACCGGGCGCCTCACACAACCTGTTATTGACGTCTTGACGTTCACCTGTCACTTGCACTTTCGGTGGATTTTTGGACGTTTTTTTATTAATGTTAGGAAGAATCTGGCTTATAACGGAGCATTTTCTATGC